GACTGGCGTGTGGAACCGCAAGTCGTGCCACTCAAAATCGACTCGTTGTCGGAAAAGTCCGACACGATGTCACTACCACGTGCTAGACTCGCCGCAGATGGTGCGCGGCTGGTCTCTGATGCCGAAGCATCCCGGGATTTAGTTTGGCCCTGAGAAGGGCCTTTTGGTTGGCCCTGAGAAGGGCCTTTGGGTTGGCCCTGAGAAGGGCCTTTGGGGAGAAAACGCCCGGAGGCGTCCCTCAGTGGTTGTGGCATTGCCACCAACAATATCGAAAGCTCACGACAACTTAAGCAACCGATTCACAGCGTTCGTTAGCCGCCGGCCTGCCACTCCGTTACGGTGGTCAGGCGCGACGTTGCCCAGGGGTCACTACGAGGAAGTCAACGCTGTGGGGGGACCCCCACCCCCAACCGAACCTAACCTAACCTTTTTTTTTTTTTTTTTTTTTTTTCGGGGGGAAATCCTCATGGACTTCCTCCGCCTGGGGAGAGGCGGAGGGGCGTGCCGGACTCTTACCGGCTAAAACCACCCCGGTGTCTTCTCGCACGTGCGCGCGGGGCCGCGGGAATCCACATTCTTCCGCAGCCCACACTAGTGCTGGCCCGGTCTGTCCGGGCCTCGTCTCTAGCACGGGGTAGTGAGGTGTTCGACTACCCCGTGCATCCTCTTAGAGGCGCGCGTAGACACCGCGCGCGCCTTCGCCTCGGGTCCATCGGATAGGGGGCGGGGACTTCCCCAAGTCCGTCGCCCCTGGACCCATTCATGGGGGGCGGAAGAGGGCGTTATCCGCCCTTCTTCTGCGCCCGGTGCGTCTTCTGCGGCCTGGGAAGGGAGTGGAGATCTCCCTCTCCCGTTCCGCAGCTTCCTTCTGCGACATCACGTCCTAACCTAACCTAACCTAACCTTTTTTTTTTTTTTTTTTTTTTACGGGGGGAAATTCTCATGGACTTCCTCCGCCTGGGGAGAGGCGGAGGGGCGTCCCGGACTCTTATTGGCTAAAACCAACCCGGTGTCTCCTCGCACGTGCGCGCGGGGCCGCGGGAATCCAGTCTGCCTGGACAGTCAGCGGGGTCTGTCCGGGCCTCGTCTCTAGCACGGGGTAGTGAGGTGTTCGACTACCCCGTGCATCCTCTTAGAGGCGCGCGTAGACACTGCGCGCGCCTTCGCCTCGGGTCCATCAGATAGGAGACGAGGGTCTTCCCCAAGTCCGTCGCTCCTGGACCCATTCATGGGAGGCGGAAGATGGCGTTATCCGCCCTTCTTCTGCGCCCGGTGCGTCTTCTGCGGCATCAAACTACAAAATTACAGGTTGTTTTTAATGCCTCTGCGAAAACCGCAACAGGTCACAGTCTCAACGATCTTATGTGCAGGGGGCCGATCCTGCAGCAAGATCTCTTAAGTCTCATCTTAAAATGGAGAAAGTTTAAATACGCATTTACGTCCGATATTGAGTAGATGTTTCGTAATATTTTTGTACACCCTGACCATCATAGGTACCAGAAAACTATTTGGCGAAATTACCAATCCGAGCCTTTGCAAGAATATCAGCTAGCGACTTTCACCTACGGCACAAAAGCCGCACCTTTCCTCGCCATGATGACACTCAAACAACTTGCCATCGATGAAAGGCCAAACTACCCCAGTAGTTACGCTCCTGATATCTTAGAAACCTCTCTGTATATGGATGATCTCCTCCATGGTGCGCATACCGTGACAGCAGCTAAACATCTCAAGGCTGAGATGATAAATCTTCTTAAGTCAGGCGGATTCAATCTTAGAAAATGGCGCCCTAATTTGCCGGATCTTTTAGACGATCATATTAATCCTCAAGACGAAGAATTTCATTTTAAGCAGCCAGAATCTACTAAGGCTTTAGGTCTTCGCTGGAACCCAAAAGAAGACTATTTTACATTTCATCCCATAGAAATTTCGTCTGAAAACATCCCAACAAAACGATAATTCTTGTCTGAAATCTCGAAAATCTTTGACCCCTTAGGCTGATGTCACCAGTCACAATCAAACTTAAAATCCTATTTCAAGAGACATGGAAAACGGAATTGGGTTGGGAGCAACCGATTCCTCAAGAAATTGCCATGGAATGGAATAAAATAAAGGCCGATTTACCTTATATCCCAATTTAAAATACCTCGATGGATACAAACCATGGAAAATGATATAATTGAGCTTCACAGATTTTGCGATGCCAGCACAAGAGCATACGCTTGCGTTGTTTATTGTAAAATAACACGAAACTACGAGACGCACGAAAATAATCCTGAACCTATCTTGTATAAAACGACTGAAGATCTCAGAAAGAAAAAGCTAGTAAACACGGTTACTGCTGATTTTACAATTCAATTAAAAAACAATTATTGCAGAAATACAGTAGTTATAAGAAAATTATTCGAGTTTTGGCTTATGTAAACAAATTCAACGACATATTGATTTACAAGAAGAAGCGTGAAACCTACCTTACCTTGCATGACCTCAAATGGGCGACTGAAATGATAATAACACACGTGCAACAAGAATACTTTTTCACGGAAATATCTCAACTTGAAAAAGGTGAACCTTTAAGCAAAAGCTCGATCTTGAATCTTAATCCTATCTTGGACAGCCACGGAGTACTCCGCGTTGGTGGACGAATAAAACATTCAAGTTTAGACCCCGAAATGAAACAACCATTATTATCCCAAATCAAACTAAATTAGCTGATCTCATAATAGACGAATCCCATGAGCTAGTATTTCATGGTGGATTGAAAATGACAAGTGTATTCATAAGACAGAAATATTGGATAATTGGAGGAAATCGTGCTACAAAAAATCGATTAAGGACGTGCGTAAAGTGTAGGAGACATGATCCCATTCTAAAACATCAACTCATGGGGGACTTACCTTCATCCAGGTTAAATCCTAGTCGACCCTTTTATCATACCGGTATTGACTATACTGGACATGTTCTGGTGAAAGCGAGCAAAGGTCGCAGCATCAAAACAGATAAAGGATACGTGGCAGTATTCGTGTGTATTGTTACAAAGGCCATACATTTAGAACTTCTATCTGATCTCACAGCGTCGGCTTTTATTGCAGCGCTTAGGCGTATGTCAGCCAGAAGAGGAGTTTCCGGGCACATCTACAGTGATCAAGGGACTAACTTCATTGGAGCCAACAAAATCCTAAAACAAAAATACGCAGAAATCTCAGAAATTTTAACAAGCCAAGAAACATTAGCTAACATTGCAGAAATGAAGATTGAGTGGCATTTTAATGCTCCGTCATGGCCTTCCGCTGGTGGGCTGTGGGAAGCTGCGGTGAAAAGTTTAAAACATCATCTTAAGCGTGTTGTTGGTGAGCAAAAACTCACCTTCGAAAACTAAATTTCATTAGTCTAATGAAAAGAACGGAAAAAGCTGCGAGCAAACATCACAAGTCAATAATTCAAAAGTTTGTTTATCTCAAAGAATCCTACCAAGATCTTCAACGCCACGTCCAGAACATGACTTTAGTTACCGATTTCTTAGCATCCGCCATGACAGCGAATAATTTACTGTATAGCCTCAGAAAAATACAAGACGCCATTCTTGATACGGTAACTAATATTTACAATGGAAAATTGGATTTCCATCTGATATCTTCTAAACAGCTGAGAACAGAATTAAGTTCTATAGCAGCACATATCCCCAAAGACACGGCACTTCCTGTCAACCATTTGAATCTCAAAGATCTCTACAACTTAATAAAAGTTCGGGCTAAGTACTATAGTAAGTACTTGATCATTGAAATAAGAATATCCCTTATCGAAAGAGACATTTTATGAAATCATTAACTTAATTCCAGTTCCACGAATTTTAAACCACGACATGATACATATGAAAGTTATCTCAAGTTTTGCTGCTATTAACCTCAGGAAGGACTCATACGTAACCTTTGCTGAGGCTGAGCTTCAGTCTTATTACTACTTAAAGAATAAATATTACTATTTTTGATATAAGATTTATTGTAGAAGTTTTTTTTTGCTGAATAAAGATTATTTTAATTATTATTATATCTTGAAAATATTACCCTGGACTATTTTTTATCGCGCATGAAGGGGCATTTTGATGCGACAAAATTGCAATACCTAATAAGTAAAAAAAAAAAATGTTTTTATTTTGCGTGCATAGAGGTCTTACACTTGGACACAATTAAATGGTTACTAGTACCGAGGCCTAGACATAGGCGACAAAATACTAATCGTTTTCGAGCGTCGTCAAGTGGTTATATTGTCATTGTCTGGACACGACTACTCATGCCCTCACTCTAATACGCCATTTTGTAACGATGTCCATCGTGGATTTTAAATTTTTCTCATAAACTCATATAAGTATTCTACTTGTGAAGCCCTTTCATTTTATACCCATATTGAGGGTATTGTGGAAATATGTAGTCCCCCATTTTGTATCGGCGGCCATCTTTGACTTACAATGTTATTGATATTACAATTGTATTATGTATTGTATTGTCATCGGAACTATAGGTTCGTACTAAATTTCAGATTAATCTGACAACAGGAAGGTAGTTTTGACAAAATAAAACCGTGTAATATCATCCAAAAAATGTATACCTAATGGATATTAGTGGTTTATTAATGTCATGTTCTCACGTATTTATATCCTTACAAAGCTATGTCACGGTACAATAGTCAGCAAAAGGTGTCATTGATTTGTTCAGTAACTTTGGGCAAGTCATCTTTTTTTATATGAAACGTTGCCTGATTTTCTCCTGTGTCGAGTGTGCGTTTAAAAAACATACAATTTCACAATCACATCACACTCAGACACGGAACAACAATTTGTGGATCACACAAAGAGATGTTTCGTGCAGGAATCAATCCACGACACGTTGCGACACCGCGCCATCTGTGCAGTCAATTCACTTCAAGTGAATCATTTATATTTATTGTACTGATTTCTGTCACTTGTTTGCTGTTTTAAAAAGGTAAATGAAAAGGGTGAATAAATAAGACAGACGTATGAAATTATGTCCTTAACGTTTAATGACTAAGAGGCTGAAGTAAAGAAGGCCGGCGTCAGAGTCCGGGCGCGCTGGCGGCGGCGGGCGCGGCGGCGGGCACGCGCAGCACGTCGGCGGCGCGCAGCACGGGCAGCGACGCGCGCTGCAGCACGCCGCACGTGTTCGTCGAGCCGCGCATGCGCACGTAGCCCTCCTCGCCCCACACCGTCGACCACGAGTTCTTCAAGATGAAGTAAGTCTCCCCGCGGTACACTGTCCAGCCGACCGCTAGCACGGCGTGGTTCAGTTTTCCTTTTCGACTGAAAATACGCACATACAACATGATAACTAGACAGATTTGGCTTATTAAATAATCTTTCAATATTCATATTAATAGTATGTTATTGTTAACAATCAAATTAAAACAACAAGACTATAGAGAATTTTCTTGAAACCCTCTTAAATTACTATGTTATTTAAGTGTGGGAGAGCCATGCTTCGGCATGACGACTCGACTGGAGTGATACCACAGCTTCACAGAAACCGGCGTGAAACAATTACAGCGTTGTATTTCGCCGTGTGAGTGAGTTACCAGAGGCCCAATCTTTCCCCTCCCAATCCTTAAATATTCCAAATCCCTTCCGAAAAAGGTCGGCAACGCACTCGTAACTCCTCTGTTGTTGCGAGTGTCCATGGGCGGCGCTGATTGCTTACCATCAGGTAATCCGTCTGCTCGTTTGCGGCTGTATCACATAAAAAAAGTATTTTACAAACACAATATTTCCAAACACTGACTGAAACTCCATATAGTTTGGAAGGTTATGCAGAATACAGGTTACACTCAATGATTACTCGAGTATTAAGGGTTAATACATACCTAAATGGTATGGTACAATCTAAATCATATTTACCATCGGCCATCGGAGTAATAGCCACTCTTGTAACTGGCTAGGGAGGCTGTCTCGCCATCGATGATGACTACCGTGGGCCCGTATTTCCTGATCGCCACCTGCCACAAACTCATGTATATTGAATACCACGATCGCCACGAGATGATGACTGTAGATTCGAATCTGCATCGTTTAATATTTGTTTTACAGGTTCAGTAATACGTTATTTCGTACACAGTATTGTATCCATGTGTGAGAACAATGAGAACAATCAAGTTCTTAAATAAATATAAGACAATTCGTTGGAATCTCTTAAAAAACCAAAATAATAAATTGTGTTGCTCTGAAATATCAAAGATTTTTTTATTTAATATAATATTTAAATTTTTACAATAAATACAAAATAATACTTAAACAAAATCCTACCTGAAATATCAAAGAAACGACATTTAAAGTTTATTAATTGGTTTGTCGATTCCTCTTTTACTGAATTACATATTATTATAATATTTAAACCTCCTCTGCTTTATTCAGAGTAATGACACTGACAATTATAATGTCAGTGGCGCCATCTATACATAACCAAGTGTAAACTTGAACTGTTTTATCTACACACCATGGACTACACATAAATACTTTAAAGAAATTTAATTTCTTTATATCTTCCCCCACCGGGTAGAAAATTTTTCCATAAAAATTTTCGTCACGATACAGCTTCACTCATACAGGAACTGGAATGAGCTTCGTGATATGAAACAAGTTGGATTCTAATTTCTTATGACCCGTATTTATTTTGTATATAGTATTCGATATCTTCTCTTCTATTCTATAAGGACCAATCCTCAGCTCATCTAATTTGCTTCTATTAAATTTATGACCATTCTCAACATATACCATATCTCCTGTGTTGAAATTATGCTGAATTCTATTTTTATCTATTATTTTTTTATTATAATTATGTGATCTAACAGAATTATCAAATGCTATTTTTTTAGCTATCACCCAGTCTTCCGCTGTTTGCGATTGTTTTAGCTCTTCCGGCAATAATGATACGTTTGTGCCCTCTAGAAGGTATCTTGGAGTGAAACCAGTAACTGTATGCACAGTATCGTTATACCTATCTACACAGGTGTGGGCTATCGTTGTCCATGCTATTTTATTATTACCTTCATTTATTTTACATCGGATCTTATTCACTAGTGTCTGATTCAGCCTCTCATTTAATCCATTTGAGAATGGTGAGTTAACTGCGGTGAATATTAATGGAATGGAATACTTATTCAAAAATGATTTAAATTCTCTAGAGTTTATTCCCGGATATTGATCGCTCAGAATCATGCCAATTTCATTATGACTGTTTGTGTTATTGATAAGTTTTATAAAGTCTTTTGCACTTTGAGTTTTCGAGGTAAGTATATATGCATATCGAGTGAAATGATCCACTAGCAGATGCAGATATCTTTTCGTTGACCGTCTGCCGCCGAAGCCTCCAATTGTGTCTATTGAGACAATTTCAAAAGGTTTTGAAGCAGGACCTAAGTGTGACATTAGACCATATTTCACCTGTCCTCTTGTTTTATTCTTTATACATACTTCACATTTCTTGCAAAAATCATTTATATTCTTTGTTAAGTTTTTTGCTGTATATATTCCTCCAATCATCTTTTGCATCTGCTTTACACCTATATGACACATTTCGTTATGTATTTGTTCTATAAGTCTGACACTGAATTCTTCCGATAGTATAATTTTCTCTCGTTTATTAATTATTCTATAATAAATGTTGTGTCTGTGTATTAATTTATTCTTATTAATTCGTATGCTTTCATTTTTTTCTTGATCCGTAACAACATCCTGTAATTGTAGTAAGTTTACTATTCTTAATGGCTCATCTTTATCGTCTACTGCTTCTAGTACGGGATTCCTGCTTAAACAGTCCGCTTCTAAATTGTCTTTCCCAGGAGCATATTTTATTTTGAAGTCATATTGGGAGAGATAATACGTTAATTCTCCTAATTCTTCATCTATTCTAGATTTAATATTCATATGTTCCAATGGTTTATGGTCTGAGTACACAGTGAAAGGTTTTCCTATGAGCCAATACTGCCAGTACTTAACAGCTTCCTTAATGGCCAAGCATTCTAAATAAATAGCTTTCTTCTTCTTCTGTGCCTCGTTTAATTTTTTTGAGAAATATGCTACCGGCTTTTCTTTTCCATTTGGCTGTACTTGCTTTAATATTGCTCCAATGCCTTCTAGTGATGCATCTGTATATATGTTTATTGGTAAGTTCGGATCATATATTTCTAAAATTGGTTGTGAACATAGTAGTTCTTTTATTTTTTCAAATGAATTTTGACAATCTGTTGACCAAACAAACTTTTGGTTCTTTTTAAGTAAATTATGTAGTGGTTTTAAAATTATTGTACATTTTGGTATATACTCATGATAGAAATTTATTTTTCCTAAAAATTGTCTAATGTTTTTCTGCGATGTTGGTATCGGAAACTCCTTTATAGAAATTAAATTGTCTCTCAGTGGTCGTACGGTATTATTTTCAATTATATGACCAAGGTATTTTACAGAACTTGCAGCAAATGTACATTTTGTAAACTTTAGTCTGAATCCTTCATTTTTTATTGCTTCCAGTAATTGTTTCAAGTGGTTAATGTGTTCGTCATAAGTTTTAGAAAATACTAGTATGTCATCTATGTAATTTACTGTGAAATCAGACAATTTATGTTTTCTTAGTACATTACTTAATATTCTCTGAAAAATTGCTGGAGATGTCTTCAAGCCGAATGGTAAACAGGTCCATTGGAAATGTCCTTCCTGAGTAACGAATCCTGTTTTTTTCCTGTCTTCGATCCGTAATGGAATAGACCAAAACGCTGAGTTTATATCTAATGTTGAGAAATATTTGCAGTTACGCGTCTTCATCAACAGATCTTCGATTAATGGAAATGGCTGTGCTTGCGGCAATACTATCTTGTTTAGTTCTCTAAAATCAATACACAACCTTGTCTTTTTTTGATCTTCTTTTTTGAAAGCTAGGGTAACAGGTGCTGAAAAGGGACTGTATGATTCTTCTATTAGGTTTCTTTCGAGTAATTTTCCCACTTGTTTCTCTATTTCTTGTTTTTCCTCTATAGAACATCTGTAAGGCCTCTTGCTACAGTATCTATCAACTATCAAATCAATCCGAGCTTCGTAGTTTTGTACCTTTCCAACGTCGTATTTATCCTTTGCAAAGCATGATTTGTACTCATCAATCAATTTATTTATTTTTGTTTTTTGTTGAGTATTTAAATTATTCATATTTATTTTAAAATCTTCTTCCGTTATATGTTCATTGAAATTTATGGAAATCTCATTTTGATTTTCCTCTTCTTTGAAATTATTTCTGCAAATCAGTTCTTTATCTGTGGATGTGTCTTCTCGTTTCTGAGTAATATTTAAGTGTTGGTCTTGAACCAAATAAAATTCTCTTATGATGTCAAGTCCAATTAGAAAATCATATTGAAACTCGCTTCCATCCACTATGTAAACATCAACATTTTTTTCTATATTATAAATTTTTATCTTTATTGTCGTCAAACCTTGTGTCCTTTTTACACCATTAATTGTTATTAAATTTGCATTTTTGAAATCACTTTTATTTTTTTTCTTTATATTCAACAATTTGGAGTTTATCAGCGAAACATTAGAGCCTGAATCATATATACCAAATATTTCAACCTTCTCATTTAATGTTAGTTTGACTTTAATTAATGGTGTAATTATTCGTTTTTTTGTTCATTGTCATTTAATTCAATATCCAACACAGTGTTGTTTACATTTTTGAAATATTTTTTTCTGTTTTCATATTCATTAGTTTGTTTAAACCAACATTTTTCCTCTGGGTGGTAACGGATTCCTTTGTTTAATTTTTCACATATTTTACATGCAATCTCTTTCTGAAATTTAGATGTATTATCAGGCACATTCTTCGTAAATTTGGTAAAATTCTTTTTGGTAACTGTATACTCTTGTTTGCCAATTTCATTGCAAAGTCTTGCAGTTGATGTTACTAATGTTCTATCAATTTTGTTCATGACATAATCCGGTAAACCCATCACAATAAGATTTATCATTGTCTCAGTGTCAATATCTTTGTTTACCTCTAATAATAAGCGTTCTTTCTTTGTGGCATATTCCAACAAGTTACCTGTTTGATATTTGAATGAATATGCATATTTTACCTGAGACCATCCTTTATTACCGTATGTTTCACAAAAAATATTTTTCCACATACTCCATTCTGACTTAGCGGTAAACTTAATTAACATACCCGTGTACCAGTCTAAACATTGTTTCTCAAGAAGATGTTTCAAAATCTCAATTTTACTTTCATCCTGTAGTATCTCGAATCTTTCACATTCAGTTTCAAATTCTTCGATCCATTGATTCACATTTGACGTTCTTCCCGAAAATTTATCTAATAAAAACTTGTCAGCAATTTTTACGAAGTTCTTATGCTCTGATTCAGATTTATAATTGTTATTGGAAGGTTTGATATCCTCCGTAATTTCCTCCAGATACAGATCATTAAACTGCACATTTTCGCCTGCGTCCAAGTAAATTTTCCGTATTTGATCTGTCAATGGGATCCATATTTTTCGTGTCTGATGTCTCTTTTTTAGCGAGTTCTTGATTTTTGCATAGACCTCTAAACTAGTAATACTTGTATGCTTGTTTGCATTTTTTTGTTCATCAGGTATGTCATATACACATCCATCAGGTGTCTCTATTGAGGTTATGCAAATTACATTCGTTTTTCCATCACTTGCGGCTAATACCGCGAATGTAAATCTTAATTTTTCCATTTTACTCTTTTAGTAACTAGAAATGTCGTTTTATAAGACAATTCGTTGGAATCTCTTAAAAAACCAAAATAATAAATTGTGTTGCTCTGAAATATCAAAGATTTTTTTATTTAATATAATATTTAAATTTTTACAATAAATACAAAATAATACTTAAACAAAATCCTACCTGAAATATCAAAGAAACGACATTTAAAGTTTATTAATTGGTTTGTCGATTCCTCTTTTACTGAATTACATATTATTATAATATTTAAACCTCCTCTGCTTTATTCAGAGTAATGACACTGACAATTATAATGTCAGTGGCGCCATCTATACATAACCAAGTGTAAACTTGAACTGTTTTATCTACACACCATGGACTACACATAAATACTTTAAAGAAATTTAATTTCTTTATATAAATATAAATTAAAAAAGCCCCCGACACAGAAAACAAGCTACCTTTAAAAAGTATATAATACAAATAAACTTTAAATTGAGATCGTTTCATGCGTTCAGGAGCTATGATGCCACAGACACACAAACAGACACGTCAAACTTATTAAAGTTTTTGTTTTTGTGACGTACAATTCCTTTAATTTGATACCCCACTTGAGCATATTTGCAGACATTCGGTTTTTTTCCCCACTTTAACTCCCTATAGCTTTTAAAAGGCTCTATCGATTTTCGTCAAACATGTCTATGAACACTCGTCCGTAAAATACATGTAATACAAAAAAAAAAAAACTTAATTGTAATCGGTTCATTCGTTCACAAGCTATGATGCCACAGACAGACAGACACGTTAAACTTTTAACACCCCTCTTTCTTGTCTTCAGACAGAATCGTGGCACAGCCAGCTTATATTTGCCTCTAGTATCAAAACATGTCTATCGCTTTGTTTTTTAAATAATTGAAAAGTTTTGCTCACTTATATAGTATTTTCATATTTAAACTGACACGGCACCGTTAGAATATTTATCGTTTTAAAAAGTTCTTTCATATGTAGATTCGCAACGAGGCAAGTTATACACCGCTCCGATAGCCCGCGTTTGCAGAATAAATATTGATTCTACTTCCACAGCTCGACCCCGAAGCAAAATTACGGAAAACATAATGCTAAGAAAATAACAAAAAATAAACAAAATATTTGTGGTTACGTCTGTGAGCTGTTTAATCTGTCTGACTGCAAAAGCAGCTGAGTTTAGTCTCCTCGAAAGAGTCTTTATGTGGGAGCCCTATTGAATTCTATTGTATAACTTGATACCTAGCAATACTGCTTCGTTGACGAATTCTAACTTTTGCCTGTTCAAAATCTATTTATTAGTATTTTCATTCATAATATAAATGCTAATAAATATATTATTTACATTATATAATTATTACTGTGTACGTTTGGTAAGCAAAATTGTATGTATTTTGTTTCTTTTTTTCGTTACCCCTAAATTATTGATTGTGAACCGATTACGAACGTGACGAATTGAGCTGCTTACTTCATTGAATTATTATTATGTCAACCTATTTTAAACATTTATGTGTTCTCTGCAAACAGCACCATTAAGTATTATCTCAATTTTTAATAGAAACGGCAAGTCATTGACATACACTGAAAAGAGAAACGGCCCCAATATCGTACCCTGTGGAACACCCATTTTCAACTCAGAGCCCTGTGAGTTAGAACCACCAATATGAACCCTCAGCTATCGATCGTCCAAATATGATTGAGACGGCGCGCAGAGTGCCTAATTCAGCGAAATTGTTTCATGATCGCAATGATCATGAATCAAACGCTTCGGATAAGTGGTCTGCTAACTTTTACCCAATAGTTCCTAAAGGGCCTTGATTTTTTTTAAACATTTATTATCTTTTATAATTATATTAAGGATTAGTATACTGAAATCATAAGTCATATTTGCATGATTTCAAATTTGCCCTGAATAAAGTTGCAGAGAGTCTGGCTGGTGATTCTAAATATGCAGTTGTTTTGACAGGTATATTGGTAAAAAAAAACTCCTGAGTTACATCTGTGTTCCGAATTTCGTAATCGTTTCTCTTTCTGTATTATTTCCACGTGGTCTTTATGTTTTATTTTATTTGATTACTGATAAAAAGGCACTTTGTAAGAGTTAGTTCGCCCTCAGCTTTACCTTCAGTGCCACAATATTGTTCTTTGTGACGTTGAGATGGCCGCTAATGCGAGTAACGGGCGGCACACTGTTAGCGCGGCATTGCTGCACCTGCAGATACAAACGGTAATATTGTTATTCAGGATGGTTCACTACTCGTTCACTCTTTTTTTGTTAAAGTGCATACTTCAGCTTTGTAACTGTATTCTTCGAGTGCAGGTACGCCTTCGTTCTTCATATAGTTGTAGGCGGCACTCGGCCACGTGCCCTTGCACCCGTTGCCACCATACCTGCAACACGAGTGAACGCATAAACAATGACCAGTGCAGCTTGGCACCGCACCTCGCGACTGTTGCGTCGTTGTACTCACGGCTGGGCGCAGTCCACGAGCGCTTGCTCGCTGAGTGGCACGAGGCGGCCGGTCTGCACGAACAAAGCGCCCTCTACTGCGCCAACGGTCGCGTGAGCCCAGCAGGAGCTGCACAGCCCTTGATCTGCAAGAGACAGTGAGTGAGTGCGCGCTGTGAGGTGGGAGAGGGAGGGGGGGGGGCAAGGCTGCGCGGCGGAGCGGCGAGTACTCACTGCGCACGTGGGTGACGGCACCGCGCTCGCGCCAGTCGAACTTGCGCGGCAGACGGCCTCGTAGCGCGTCCAGCTCGGGGCGCTCGTGCGGGAAGGGCAGGCCGGGGTCGGCGGAGGGGTCAGGCTCCACCCCCAACAGGACGCGCCGCTCCATCTGCAGCCGATCTGACAGAAAGTTGACTTCCAGTTGGAAGGAAGCCCCTTGTCGATTGCCGGATGCTGCGTGTCGGGAGCTCTGCATCAGTATATTCTTGCGCACTGCCAGCTCCACATCATCAGCGTACGTGCGTTGAAACAACCTCTTGTACCTGATAGGATCACACGTGGGATGAATGATATTGATACCACTAATAGAGCTCCCTCGTGTTAGAGACGCACTCACTGTTGGATGTTGGCATCATGGCGCGGCACCCGGGACAGCGATGTGAACTCCCGCAGCGGCTCCACGTTCTCCATTTTATCTGTGATTTCGACTTGTTCACATGCGTCGGCTGAAAAGTGCATTTCGATTAATACTCACGACACTGATGCATGTACTAAGATGATTAGGTACATTACTTTACTGTTATACCTAGTAAAAATTACGAAACACCAAATTATACCCTTATAAAAGACCTTAATAAAAATGAACTTAAATCGAAATTAACAAACTAGCTTCTTCAACAGGATTATTCACAAACAGAATCTCTGCTTACATTCATCGCATAAATTTCACCTTAAATCACCCAAAATACCTAAACGCACAAACACGCGCACTCACACAGCCACGCCCAAACACACTAAGTAACACACACATAAACACACACAAACGTATTCGTTAACATATTTTTTTAACCACCTACATTCTTATTCATTCAATCAGTTTTAACCTTTATGCATCTATAGATTTAAGGGTAGATCGACACACTCTGCTTGTTGTAAAATATAAAATGTAATAATCTCTAGCCGATCACTGTCTCTTAAGATACAGGATACCCTAGTTTAAGAGGCAGGGTTTATCAGTTTTGTATACAGATTTTTCCAATCTACGCAAGCCCCAACAATTCAACAATTGTTTATAAGATTACTCTGTAATACCTATGTAGTAATGGTTATATATTATGTCTCTAATTCTTAAAGCAGTAAATATTTATTGTTATACCAATACGCTGTCCTGATATCAATTTGTAGCAAATCATGGGTACACATATATAAATATATATATTTGAAACAAACAATAGACTCAGACCCAGAGCTACGAAATGCGGATCTCAGTAATCATTAGTTCGTGCGTAACGTTGCGCTGCAGGCGGCGGTACACTCACGCTCCATTGGTAAAGTAGACTAGATTATTATAAGCAGGTAAGATACAGTGCAAAGTAAATCTCAATAAATAAAGAAAATATATGCAACGCAGGTACCGATGTCAAGATGGAACATAGAAGGATCGTGATGTTGTATTTGGACTTCATCGAACTGGTGTATGTACCCGTCGCAGTCCGGACCCAGCACCGAGCTGTCCACTCGCACGGAATACCTGCAAACGGAGACAGGGGTCAGTCTGATGGGTGGCAGTGGTATTGGGTAGCGGTGAGTGATGGGTGAAGGTGGGTGCGGGTTGAGGGGTGCGTGGTGAGTGGTGAGTGTGTAGACTGACCGCAGCGGCGTGGTGGTGTAGTTGTCGGCGGAGCGCGCCAGCAGCAGCTCGTGGCGGAAGGTGAGCGCCTCCCCCCGCGCGCCGCCCAGCTCCCCGCTGTGCCCCGACAGTGTGTGGCGCCACACCTCGTTGCCGTGCACGTCGCGCCCTGCAACACCGCCGCGTCACTCTCCAGCACGCCAGGCACGGCCACTCCGGCCCCGGCCGCACCAAGGCGGGCCACTCACCCGCGAAGGAGAAAGCCTGCAGGTCAGGCAGCGCGGGCAGCGCACGCTCCGCCAGCGACACGCGGCGCGGCGGCATCACGGTGCAGCGACGCACATCAGATTCGCCCGATCGGTCGACATGGATCTGTAAGATGTCGCCACCTCAGTTATTGCAGAGTGACGGCTCGGCAACCACAAAGACAGGGTAGCGGGTGTAGATGCGCACCATGACACTCTGCGCGCGTCCGTCGCGGCGCATGGTGCGGTACGAGGAGGTGGTGCCGCCGTGGTAGTCCACGCGCGCCGCGCCGCTCGCCGCGTCCCACCTGCACACACACACACACATTCACACATGCTGCGTAAGCACGAATATCTCACACGCGTTTAGTTATAAAATAACATTCATATATTTTCTATCTACCAATGTCGTAGTTCCTTGTGTGCCCAATGGTGTAAATGAGGAATATTAATGCATGGCGGATACTGTCCGTGCACCAGTTTAACTCTAACATATAGATAAGGAGCTCCTAATGTGTGACAACAAAAGAGAAGAGAAATTGTATGTTATCAAATTATTTAACTTATTAATATAATATTGTAAGGTAAAATGTTAGTTTCTCTGCGTCCTCCGGCCTCAGCCTACATAGTGGGCGCGGTCGGCACCATGCCGGCGGCTGCAGGCTGCGTTTGCTTCAGTCAGCTGCCGTTCCCCGGCTGACGTAGTTCCTACACTCCGACTTGCTGCACCCTGGTCGTATTCCTCATTTACATCTGACTAGTTGTGCATTTACATCTGACTACTCTTCTTATATATTTTTCAGGTATCGTGCCGTGCTCTACTCGCTGCTTATACAGCTTATATATTGTTCAGTTACAGTACCATGAAGTAAGCTTAATGTGTCAACACTTTCACAATTATAGAAGCGATATTTTAAAACTATTGCCTGATTAATGATGATTGAATAGGTATTAATGTGACATACAAGTGTATGATACGACTCTCCCGAGAGCGAGGTCCGACGTCCACTTTAATATAAACCAATGTATGCATCATTGTCATTGCTGTGTGTCATTTGCTTTTCCAAAACTCGATAACTTAATGATACTTTGCTCTAATCAGGTTTCGAAGTTAAGAATTCAAGATTGACAGTGGCTCTTGATAGTAATCTGTCTGAAGTTAATTATAAGTATGGCAGAGGTGAGACCAGATTGAGTAAGGCTCGGTGTAGTCGGCGCGCGGCACCGTGAGTCGCGCGCGCATGTACAGCGAGCGCTCGAAGCGCGGCGGGGGCGGGGGCGGGGGCGCCTGCACCTCGTCCGCGCCCCCCGCGCCCCCCGCGCCCCCTTCATCGTGGGCCACGGAGCGTCGCCGCGTGCAGCGCAGCCGGCGGCGCAGGCCGGCTCGCAGCTCGCCGCCGCCTCCCGCCGCCACGTCGCCGGCTGCTCCCGAAGACGCGTCGTGTGCCGAGTGCGCTGCCTGGCTGGTAAACTTGGCCTCTTCCAATTCTTCCACAGTGTAGTCGTCGGTGCTGACGGTGGCCACAGGGTCGATCACGACGGGGGGTAACATCGGCTCTTCTCCGATCTGAGCGCGGAACTGTTCAACTAACACCCGCGAGTTCGCTGCAAGTGCCACACAAATTTATATTTATTCCTCATAAAGGGCTTAGAGCTTTTAGAAATATATAAAGTAGAAAGAAAACTGTTTTTATTCGGAATGAGACATGAAGGCCAAGAATTAAAAAAAAAATACAATAATAAAAAAATAAAATAAAATTAATCAAAACAATAACCTTAAAACAGACTAACAATCCGAATGGGTCGCCAACTCAGCAAAAGCTGGGCACAGAGCACCCAACACTGATTTTCAGTTGGCACCCCTAGTACAATAATATAATAAATAATAACTATATGTACATGCTTAGTGCATGATTCGATGATGATGTGAGGGGAATATATAGATTGTTGCTCGTGTGTGTGTGTGCACGCTTTGTCATTAGTAGGTGTACAAAACTGAGATGTCTCACCGACTGGCGGGAAGTATGGCGCATTCCTAGCGAGCCGGAGGTCGAGCGAGGGTCGCAGTGGCGGCGGTGAAGGTGGAGGTGGCGCGCCGTTCAGCTCGAGGTGTACGATGTCCTGTGGAGGGGACAGGTCGGGCGGGCCGTACGGGGTGGGGGGCGGCCGCGCTGGCACTGAGCTGGTGAATGGAGGGAGTGTGGGGATCTCGTTGTACGATGGGATTTTGTTATACAAAGAGGTTTGGCTTAAACCCTCTTCGGAGGCAGGCGGAGCGATTTCGCCGATTGCGCGGTTCGAGGCTGGGACTGCGCATTCTGTAACAAGGACAGCATGCTACACGTCGGTGGATGGGGGCAGCGCGGGGCTGCGCCAGGCGTAGTACTCACGGGTGGCGTCGGCTCGGGGCGCGGGGCCGGCCACGGGGAACGGCACCGGCACCACCAGCACCGACAGGGACGCACGGCCGCTGCTGTCACCTTCTGCAGGCAGTCGTCATTGCATTTAGAAACAAATCAAATCAAATCAAATCAAATCAAAATCATTTATTCCAAATAAACCATAAATAGGTACTTTTGAAACGTCAAAATAGAATAGTAGTCTGTCAGTCTGTTCGTCAGTGAAGCTAGGTGCTCGTTCCAAATTGTAGTTTCGAATGGAGAAGAACGAGCAAGAAACTCCATCGTTACTCTTTTAAAAAAAAATATTTGTTTTACAATTCATAAATAATACATTTTTTATACATTACTGTACCCCTATGTGAGAACAATGCAGAGACAAGTTGTTAATAAAAAGGAACAAATGATGGTCTATCTAATCTATCATTAAAATTTTAATCCTTTGTTGTCTCGAACATGGCGCTCACATATGCGTACTCACAATCCAAAAGAATGCTTCTATATAAACTCATTCAAGGTTTCATTAATTTTGAGAATTTCAATAACTACTGACTACATATTTGAGTTGAGATAAACGACTTACAACCTTACATTAATGTCACAAAAATAATCCCTTTTGAATAAAGTTATTGAAAAATAACAAATTCCTGTGTGTGTGACTGAACAGATAAAGTTGTAGTTTCGAGTCACGACGTAGTATCATATTAGTTTCGAAATTTAGTATCCCGACACTGCCCAAATACAATTGTGAAAGAAGTATTTGCATGAGTATTGTGTAGAGTTAGAGAGCAATACTCACGGAGCGGCACCTGCACGGGGATGGCGGGCGGGAACCAGGAGCCGGCGGCGCCGCGCGAGTACTCTGCACGAACACACCACGATCACACATTTTATTTATTTTTTAATAAAACGTTGCCCCACACTAGGATTTTCTCCTGTGTCGTGGGTGCGGTTACAAACATACAATTTGACATGACACCCAGACCCGGGACAACATTTTGTAGATCACACAAAGAATTGTTCCGTGCGGGAATCGAACCCGGGACACGTTGCACGGCAGCCAGTCAGTTGCCCGGCCACCGCACTGACCGTGCAGTCACATTTACTGATACTACACCTACAATGTCTTACCGCTTCTCTCTTTTTAAACAATTACCAATTGTTTTCAAAAGAAATCCCCAAATCTTCCATCATCAAATCCCTAAAAGGCCAGTATCGAATCTGACATTCCTTGATGTTTTTCATGATCGGCACCATTGCGTACCACTAGGTAAGCCACATTTTGATTATTAAATGTAAAAGTTAGTAGTTTTCCATGCCATTATTTCAATGTTCACTATAATACAATAACAAGATTGATTTCTTTATTAATGCGAATTCAATACAACTCCATATCTAGAATTTTTTGAAATTTTGATTTAATCCTCATAACTATTCGCTTAATTTTCTATTAAATTAATAATCATTACTTTACTTATAATCTTAGTGAAAAGAACAAAACTCTAAATTTTTACAACTACCGAAAGTACTTGTCTGAAGTGATACTGACCAGCTAATAAGCTGCGCCACCGGTCAGCGGGCTCGGCAGCAGTGCGCGTGCGCCGCGGCCGCGCCTCCTCCGCCCTCACACCGGCGCCTGCGCACACAACACATGCCGTCACATCTTTCTTTTACAATTATTTGAGCTTAACGAATACAAAGACTTTTCTTCAATATAGTTTGAAATTACGTTACAATAAGCCCACGAGGAAGTGTCACAGTCTTACTAATCCCTTTTCTTATTCCGAGTGAACTTTCACATACTTAATTTAATTATTACCACAATTCGCAATAGTCTTGCATCAACCGGGGATTATCCTAGGGTGCACTTTCATAGTGTATACAGGGATAATAGCCGGCTGATGTCCCATTTCACTTAAATTAAAGTTGTTCAACGGGCCTCTGCGAGTTGGTTGGTCAGTTTTTTTAGTAATATTTTAAAATGAAATTGAAGTGTTGTTAAAATAAATATATGTAAATAATCCGTTAATAAAAGCGTAACAGTATACACACCAGTGCAGTGCTCATTCCAAAATGAAGGTTCGAATGTATGCGAACGATGAAAAGAACAGAAATCTATTTTGTCAGTTATCAAAATGACACCAAGAGGCTCAAAAGAAAAAATGAAGATGGAAGGGACCGATACAGGTTAGAATTTCTAGCATCCGTAACATTGGATGAGTCAACGGACACTTTAGAGAAGCTGACGGAGTTGTATGTGCAATAAGGATTAGGTTTAATTTTGCATAACAACTGAAGGATTGAAGGATAAAAATGTTAATATTTGTTAGCGATGTCAGGATCTATCAGCAATCATTTTTATTATGTCGAAATCGTCCATCACATTTGCGTCTCGTACCGAACTCGAAGATATTACAACTACTGAACTAGTGGTTTTTTATGGTATAGGTCGGCAAACGAGCAGACGTATTAACAGATGGTAAGCAATCAACGCCGCAAGAAAAGCGGATTTACTTCCAGGAGAAGTAACTTGTTGCTCAAATTAATAACAAATTATTACTCTCGGTTGTAACGTAGTATATTTAACTCAACGCTCTTGTCAACATTTTAATATCAAATTTACTCACACGCACACTAATTATCAATGTATGTACAGGCGTACATTTTAAATATTAACTTAACTTATATACAATAGTACATACAAAAAACAATAGCACTAAATAAACAATAAAGTGAACAATACTTATTACTATGTTAAGTAAAGGCATCGAAGGCAAATCGTCACGTCATTGCATTTTGGTTCCAACTCGCTAACCTGTTCCCCGTTTGTGTCGGTAGTCATACTATCGAAAAATAAAAAAATAAATTGTTAAGATCACCCTCACATGATCGAGTTAAATTTGCCAGTCATATTTCTTTTTGTCTTTGCCGTGACACCGGCCAGGGACAGACGGCACACATCAACTGTAACGTGCACACGTTCACGCGCTCCTTAAAAGTACCGAAGATAGTTTTAATAACTTAGCGTGGCATCTATACGTGAGCGTTACTCCTCTAATATAAATTCAGTGTTAACCCTATATTGGTCATGCTGGTTGCGGCCATTACGTGAATAGATTTTTTTCTTCCTTCCTATTAGAATTCCCTTCTATAGTGTTTGTTCACTTCTTGTAATGTGTTCTAGTACTTTTTATTAATATGTTTTAAAGTAGTATTCAATTATATCAATGTACAACTGTAAAAAAATCTTCTGTAGTTTGCTCCGATTCTGACTGTGACTTGCACACATTCGCCTTAATCGCAACAGTACATCTTCTGCCTCACGCTTACGCTGTCGCGGTTACAGTCAGACGTCAGATAAGTCGGAAGACCCTAAACTCATTCCGTCTGGATCATTCCAGGGTCCGAAGTTCAGGTTCGACCACCAGCAGCCCAAGCTCCGGTTCGAACACCGACATCTTCTTCTCTTTCTGCTGCACTTCGCCTCTTCACCATCTACAACCCTGCAGGACGACTTCCAGTGGGTGCTCATTCTCCGGTCTCCGTGACGACGTGACCGCTAAAGCGCTAAAGTTGCGTCAGGCCAGGAGAGTACCTAGCGCGTTTGCCTCCATAGACGAGAAATATTGAGACCGGCAATTTTAACGTACGACCCGAAATAAAAAAATAATAATTGTTGTTAGCGCTGCGTTTCAATGATCTCTCTTTTATTATAGATAACCCTAAACGCACATAAACGCGACACGGTGTAAAATGAACAGAAAAGCCAGACTTTGGGCTCATGAAAGTAATAAGGAGAGAATGGAAGCTCGGAAAACGAACGCCTGTTTCTAGAACGCTCTTCCTTCTTCTTAAAGTTCCCCGCTGCTACACTAACTACAGACAGAATTCGTTATTTAGAAGATCCTTCAATAATCTAGTCGACTGTTTCGAATGTAACTTATTCGTACCTTAGCCTCACTTATTCAATTACTTAAAAACCCTTTGTTCGACTGCCGTTCTATTTTGTGTGATTAGGGAATGCAATCCGGACTATCCGTAATTCGAAAAATCCTGATATCAGCAAATTTTTACTTGACTTGTAAATCCGAAGCGGATTTAGTTAATGTGAAGAAATAGTCATTTGTAATTACAATATAACATTTATATTCATGTCGCCCCTGGAGGACGCGAGCAGGCGCCGGCGCCTCATTACCTATATTCATTATTGGTTAATTTAAAATAGAGTACAATTATTTACTTACAATGAGAAACACTTATTGCATAAATATATAGTTCTTCGGCAAGAATATCTGATTTGGATCGGTATGATTGAAGGTAGAAGTAGTTAGAATATTGTTAATCACTAACAATGTGATTACAATAACGCCTTTCTTTTATTCGTATGTCATTAAAACTGGTTTATAACAGTTTAAAAGTAAAATATTGAGTTATTAAATGAGGGATATATAGTGGCGTATTTGAAAATGTAAATAAAAACTAATATATAAAAGGATTCAAGTCAGATATTTGGCGAATGCATCTCCAGGTACACTTTCATATACTTAGCTTACTTGTATAAAGAAATTATAAATTAAAAAAAAATTGCGTATCTAAATACTTTTTTGTGGTAGCTGCCTATATATAATATAGGCAGCTGGCTAGTTATTGTGGTAGCTGCCTATATATAATATAGGCAGCTGGCTAGTTATTGTGGTAGCTTATATAATAGGCAGCTGGCTAGTTTTTAATTAAGAGCTTATAGGTATATGATATGGGGGTCTTTAGTCAGTAACAGAATTTGATGATCTCCCTACAAAGAAAATGCAATAATTTGACCACGTCATCTGTTTAAAATAATAATGTCCTACAGTTATCTCAAGGATTTTTTATAAAAAACGGTTACAATCCGTAGCCTGGATACATTGTTCATGTAAGTGTGGGAGAGCTATACTTTGGCACGAATGGGCTCGACCGGAGTAATACCACAGCCGTACAGAAAGCCTGCGTGACAAAATCACCTGTGTTTCGCTGTTTAACCCGTTGGACGCCACGGGGGACAACATGTGGGCCACGCTAGCGGAGGATTTACCCTCAACAGCAATCTGTTGGCAGTCAATGGCTTAAGTGTGGTAACTAAAAGCAAACCTTTCTCTCTCCCTATCCCTAAATCTCTAAAACCCTAATCCCCAAAAGGACAGCAATGAACTCGAAACTTCTCCGTAGTTTCGGGTGTCCTTTGATTGATTGCTTACTATCAGGTAATTCGTCTGCTCGTTTGTCGTCCTATCACATAAATAAAAGAAAAAAATTAAAAAAGTTTAAATACAGTAAATATTATTATTATTTTATCAGAACGTAACTATATAACGTATAGTACTTTAATGGTTTTATAGGAACTGCCGGCCTATTTTTCTAAACAAATAATTGTGATAACTGTAATCAATAATATATTTTGTTTCTAAGATATAAATGAATGACAGATGCGAAGATTCAAAATCCATTGATTATGATATTTAGTTCGCTTGGGTTTAATGAATTGAATAAATTATATCTTGAATGATAATTACCTAAGAACAAAGTTTAAAAGTTTCATTTAATTAAACATACATTTACGATTTTTTTATTCAGATAATAAGCGGTCTCACGGTGTCGGACAGGGCCTAAAGCTGGAACTTCTTTTTAAATTGTAGGTATTCACTCTCTGTACTGGAGTACCTACACTATACATATAGACAGACATTTAAAAAAAATATTTGTCTATGACTTATAGCTTAGTAGGAGGAGTTCGGAGGAGACCCACGGTTAAGCATAAGAAGTAGTTCATTGCTCAAAGTAAGAAGATGTCAGCTGGATGCCAATCCAACTCGCGTTATTATTTTACTGGGTGTGGAACTTAAAATAGAAACACGCTTGTATGATACGAATTTATAGAGAAAGCATAATAATAAACAATAGAAAAAAAATCTCTAACAGCACTTTTTGCTAGGGATAGAACCTGAGACCCCTTGCTCAGCAGACACTTTTACGAAAGCCAGATCCACGAGGCTATCTACGGCACTACTGTTTCTATATCGTTAGAATTACCGAATTAGTATTGAAATCGTCGCAAATATCACGGAACACATAATTACCGACACTCGCGAGCAGTAGCAGCGCGAGGATATGCGCCATGCTGACACTACTCACACTCACACTCACACTGACACACACACACGCGCGCGTAGTAACTGGCCTCGAGGCTTAGTGCGTGTGCGCAGCTCTGTGGCCGGCACATTAGTGTCGCGCGCCGCGACCGGAGGCTGGGGCCATCTCCGTGAGGTCGTGCCCCTCCCCTTATCTAACAATCTGTTACCGCACTGCCCGCTCTATGATAACATAGCAGGTAATCGTAACACCTGCGTAATACATATAATATACGGAAGACCTCTGCCGCCGCCCTCAGAGACGGACAGGCGTGATGCTGTACAAGGGGCTGAAGGTACTGTTGTACGTGAACCGCTGCTGTCTGTTTACTTGTTCGTTATTTGACCGAGATTGTATTTACTTTTCCTTTCCTTCCTTATAACAACTTGCAAGAGGCATGGGTTTTCATAATAACTTTCAGCCTGAAAACTACTGAGCTAATTTTAATGAAACTTAGTACTTCATATGTGATACAATAATATTAAGGTCCAAAAATAATGTTACACATTGAGGATTGAGAATTTAGGTTTTACAAGGTGAAGCTCGCTAACTGTAGCGAGTACCTCCCGTGCCGGGCAGTGAGCACCTACAAGCCGGAGGTAGTGTTTGCACTCACACGAAGTTGATATGACTAACATTGTAAAAGAATGTTGACATTGAAAACGGCGGGACGCGCGACGTGACAGCGCGCGGCGTGACCAATTGCCGAACAACTTCCTACTTCTGTAGGTACAACCGTACCACGTTCATCGGTCACGGCACAGATTAATACAATAGGGTAAGCGACATGGTATGAAAAATTAAAAATCAATATAGTCAGTCAGTTAGGGAAAACAGGCAAGAGACGTGTTTATTATCGTGACTTATAAGAAAACAAAATTTCCATAATCTACGTTTTACGAATAGGCATAATGAGCAAGTCAGGCTCTACTTTCTCAGCTGGAGTGTAGCGGGTGTAAGGGCAATAATGGAGTAAGTTGTTGTTGATGATGATGTTTCCGATAAGTCACTTGATGATTTCTCCCTCTAAAAACTATGCTCTCTACAAAAGACATCAACGCGCAACACGTTTTGCGTAGATTTAGGAGTATGAGAAGATTGGTCGCTGACTGGGTATCTGAGTGTTACATAATTGTCAGAAGTGAAATTACATGCGTTACCAAAGGACTACACAGTGTAATAAAAGAAGGGCAAAAATAGTCACAAAGCAGATATGTTTTTTGTTATCTCCGTGTGAATTTAGTGATGAGATTATCTTCTGAGCACCTTCTGTTAATTAGTATCTTTTTGCAAATTGGTAAACAGAAGCATAGAAGCAATAGTAGTGGTAGCGGTAGCTAAAGGGGCCTAGCTTGATAGTTGAACAAAGGTTGGCCTTCGAGCTCGCTGGTTGACAGGTCAATCGATCTGCGCGATAGTGACCGAGACGTCGCGCGTCGGCTCGTGGTGGCCATTAGTTAAGTATGCAGTAATGTTTGTCGCGCGTCGCCCGCTCAAGGTCACGGCGCGCGCCCCTCGCGTGACCGCGGCTTCCACGCACACCTCTGTTTCACATTAATTGCACGATGTACGTATTTCCTATAAGCACCTGTATTTGTTGTGTTCAGCTCCTTATTAAGAGGAGTTTGTTTGACAGGCTTGTGGTCTAGTTTATTTATATAAAATGTGACCTCGTATTCAGATTGTTAACTGTATTTGGAAGTATATATTTATAAATTCATAATACAAATCACACCTAGACACGAAACAACATTCTATTTATCACCTACATTCATTATTTACTTCATATTTTTTTAAGCTTTAGAACTTTATGCTGACTACTCCTCGTTCGTCGTTGGTTAAAGCATTATGACGACAGAAGTACCATAAACTACAATCTACAATATAACCTTTGTCTGAAACAGAACATAAAAAACATGTATCGTAGCAAAATAGTAGCGGCCGACAGTCGCGTCAATACGAGTAATCGTGTCAATAAGTACACAGTTTATATTTCGAGAGCCTTTTTCAATGTTGACGGCATTGAACTTTGTTACAGACAAAGTTTAATGCTCCACATTAATTGTTCATTGTCAAATTTTAATACTAATTAGATGAATAATGAATCCACTTTGTAATGTAGCCTTTGTTTCGTTCAACTTCTGTAAAGCCTGTTACCATCGAATCTCTAAAATACCTAAACATGAAATGACACAGAAACCTGTATTTAGACTACGAAGTTCAATAATTTTTGTCACTGGAATATATTTGGTGAGCGTGTCCCGTGGAGCCCCGCTGTAGCCTGTGTCACGCGAGGTCCGGCAACTACTGCGTATGTGTTTACTTACTGTCGGTACCCACGTGAAGTAATCACACCACACACACATAGCATGCGATCAATATCTGATTTGTATCAACTTGTATACAGTCACGTACGTACTGACTACTAGTGGAGGTGCTATAATGGAATTTGACGATATTGGTTGTTCGTAGTTACGTATGTAATATGCGTAACATCGAACGTAGATGGAAATGTTTGTCTCAAGTAATCTTCCAGCTTTGTATGAAAAATTCAAAATAAGTGTGGCAGCAACAGTGGAGGTAGCAGTGGAGCGTCCACCAGTTGACTTCACACGGCACTCGGCCGAGGGTTGTAGCCACGTCATCGATTACCGATACGTCGCCGCGGCTGGACAGCGAGGCCACTCGCGGCATTGCGCTGTCTCTGTCACAGAGCCCCGCACGTCTAAACTACGGGCTGCGTAACGCTAAGTTAACATCTTAGCGAGATGAATACCGTCCTATGAGAGCACGACCCGACAGAATCATCTAGGAGGAGGCAGCCATGCAAGAAATAGAGGAACCGACACTCCTGCAGACATTGCGCGGTCACAAGAGCGAGGTGACGTGCGCGGATGCGAGCGGCGCTCGTCTGGTGACCGGCGGCGGCGACCGCGCGCTTCGCCTGTGGCGCTGGGAGCCCGGCGGCGGGTGGGACGAGGTCGCGCGCGCCACGGACGCGCACCGCTACGGCGTCACTGCTGCGCGCTGGGCCGCCAGCGGAGCCCTGCTGGCCTCGGGCGGCGTGGACGGCGTGGCGCGAGTGTGGTGCGGGCGCGGGCTCACGCCGCGACGCCTGCTGGCGGCGCCGGGCGCGGCGGCGGCGCGCGCGCTGTGCTGGGCGGGGCGCGCGCGCCTGCTGGTGGGGCACGACGACGGCGTGGTGTGCGCGTGGCACGCGGCGCGCGGCGTGCAGCTGGCGCGGCTGCACGCGCACGAGGGCGCGCTGCACGCCGTGGCCGCGCCCGCGCGCGCCGCGCTACTGCTCACTGCCTGCACTCACGGGGTGCTCAAGGTTTTCGATCTCGCGGGTGAGCTCTTTGTTTCATTCCCCCCTGTTCCTGACCTTGGTATTAATTGGCGAACCGTCGTCACCATAGACCTGAGTCCATCTACTGCTGGATACAGGAGTTTACGGCCGGCCTACTACTACTGCACCAAATAGTTTTCTTAATATTTCAATAACATTACCGTGGTTGCAGTTTTGATACTTCGGAGGAGTTGTGAGTAGTTCCTTAATTTTTTTTATAAGCATTGCCCCACATTGTGATTTTCTCCTGTGTCGTGGGTGCGGTTACAAACATACAATTTCACATACACATGACACCCAGACCCGGAACAATAATTTGTTGATCACACTGTACAGTCTCAAAAGACTGACATAGGCAATTTTATTCTTATAAATAGTTGTACAATATGGAATGGCAGTTGTAAAGAGTTGTTCCGTGCGGGAATCGAACCCGCGACACGTTGCACGGCAGCCAGTTGCCCAACCACCGCACCAACCGTGCAGACAATTAATGGATCAGTGCGCGTTTTAAAATTGGTGGACCACGAAATAGAATCCATTACTATACCGTAGGGCAAAGTAACCATGGTATAAGACTTGGACAAAGAGCTGTATTAGCTTTTGTCAAAGTCAAAAATCATTTATTCCAGTGAGGCCACAGTGGGCACTTTTGAACATCAAGCAAAAAAGAAAATATATTTCAATAGGTTTAAATTGATGCGTGTTAGTCTGTCCGTATGTCCTGTAGTGAAGCTATTTACTCGTTCCGTTTGTGTGTGTATGTAATGTACCGCGCCGCGGTCTGAAGCAGAAGAAGGCATGAAGTAGTTTTTGGAAAGTAAGAGTCTGACAGACTGCATCTCGAGGCCTACCTCTACTAGGGTGCGGGAAGTATTGAATGATTTGATCCCCTCGAAACATAGTTTTTTTGACGTTGCACATTACTAATACCAAATTCCTTTCTTTTACTGTCTTGTAATTCTAAAACAAACATATAAAATGTGAATTAACGAGGCTAGTCTACGTGGCACACAGAGGTATGTCGAAGCGGATGTAACGGTGCGTCGTCGTCCCCGGCGGTGCCCCTCGCCTGGATGGACAACGTGCACGACCTGGGCGCGCTGTGCGCTGACGCGACGGAGGACGGCAACATGGTGGCCACGGGCGGGCAGGACGCGCTCGTCCGGGTGTGGCACACCCGTGTGGAGGACGGCTGGCCGCGCCGCCTGCTGCAGGGCGGGCTCCGGCTCAGCGGGCACGGCGCGGCCGTGACGGCGCTGCGCTGGGCGGGCTGGGGCGACGGCGCGCTGCTGGCGTCGGCGTCGCTGGACCGCACGGCGCGCCTGTGGCAGCCGGCCGGCCCGCAGCCGCACTGCGTCCGCGTCGTGCACGCCCACGCGCGGTACCTCACCTGCGTCGTGCTGCCGCTCGACAGGCGCTACATGATCACTGGTCAGTCGCTGACGCTGTGGGGACGCGAGTACTTCATGCCGCAACCACTACTGCAGATTAACGCTTTTGTTGCCTTACAGGTTCGAACGACCGGTCACTCAGGATGTGGTCGCTGGGCTCTCTAACGCTCGACGATAGTTTGGAGATTCCGTGTGAAGCGCTCGCACACTTCGGTCTCGGCGATCTCAAAGTAAGTCGTTACACTTGAATACTGTGTCAGTTCAGTAAGCTAACGAGTTCATGCAATATTGAAGGGCATCGGGCCACTGGACGATGAGGTGATCGACGAAGACGGTATTCCGACTCAGACCTCAGTGGCTGGTCGGTCTGAGGGCAGAGACCACTCCTGCTTGCACCGCTTATGGAGCTCAGCAGCACATTCCGGTGCCATCAACGACATAGCTACGTACGGGGACCTGGTAGCCACCGCTTCTAGGTAATGGATTTTAGGATCGGACGGCGCAGTAAGCCCAGCCGGATGTGCGGCTCAGTGGGCAGTGGTGTTGCAGCGACGGGGTGGCGCGAGTGTTCCGCTGGAGCGAGGCGCGCGGCGAGCTGGACGCGCTGCACGAGCTGGCGGCGCACGAGTACCCGGTGCTGGCGGTGGACTTCGCGGCCTCCGGGGCCGTGCTGCTCACCGCGGGGCTGGACGGCCGCGCCTGTCTCTGGGACGTCGAGGTATATACCACTGCTAGGCACGATGAACTCACTCTAACAACTCTTCTGTTACATATAGCTCTGAGCACAGGCCATGACTGTAAATTTCAAAACTATTTTAGGTGATATCTAAAATATTGTTTCAAAAACTATTTAATACATAGATGTAGTAAATGTGTAATTTAAAGGTCTTGTTGAATCAAATCACATTCCTCGAAACAAAATCTTACTAATTAGATGTGGGACAGCCAAGCTTCGGCACGAATGGGTCGGCTCAACCGTAGTGATACCACGGCCTTACAGAAAACTGGCGTAAAGCAACACTTACGTTGTTTGTGAGTGAGGTTACCGGAGGCCCAATTCTTCCTCCTCCCCCATCCTCAATCCCTAAATTCTTAACAACCCACGAGAGGCCGTCAACTCACTTGTAGTACCTTACTCCTTTGGAACTACGAGTGGTGTGGGCGACGCTGACTGCTTACCAAAATAGAATAAACAAATAAATGGTGTTGGACCTCTCAGGCAGCAGGAAACATGGACCAGTTCCAGTACAAAAATATAGTGAAAGACACGATTTTACCATAATTATATGCGGAATACTTGCTGCCGATTATTTGAACATTCCAATACCACAACGATCCCAATCGTACTGCAACATAATTGAAGAACCCCTCATGTCCCAGTCAACTTCAGTCTTATCTTGCAATAACCAATAAACAGAACAGATTTAAACAGAAGTTGCGCTCGAGCAGTTTAAGAATCTTACATTACTTAATACATTGTAAAGTAAATGATCTGAATATTCAATCTTAGTCCCGTTTACTCTTATCCCGAGTCTATACATTAAACATTGTTTTTAAGAAACGTCCTGATAACTACTACTACTTTTTTATTATAGGAAGTGTTCAATTAGTGAAAGTTCTGATTTTCTTTTCATATTTACAATATATAATTAAAAATATTTATTGAAATACCTTGGTAGGCTTGACTTTTCGACCTGGTTGCACAGGTCGTGGTCACAAGCTGACTCACTGAGCACTGAGTCTTCTCTCTCACACTTACAATTACTATGTCCAAAAGCAGTGGTTTATCCTAAGCCAGATTTAGTCTATGATACGAGTTTACCTATTGATTTCGCACATTTTTTATAGATTTTAAGTAGAAGAGATTTTTTATACTGCTGTGGGGCCAGCCAGCCTTACTTTGGGGCAAATTGTGCCGTAGCTGGGGTCGGTTTTTCCGTTGATAATGCTAGATGATTTACGCGAATGAAAATTGATACAGAATTTAGAGTTATATGTTTTATAATAATATTTTTACTCATTATACTTTTTAACTATAAATCAACAGTTTTTACTTAAATCCGAATAGCAATTAAGACAGCTGTCATTCTGTTTCGTTCTTATTTTTCCCAATTAATTGGAAGTTCTTTAGGCAGTGGTCTTATTAGCTCCGATAACAAAATGGCTGTATTTTGACAGAAGTGACTCTTCTTCCTCATTACAGTCTCTGTTTGTATCGAATGAAAGGGTCAGACAACTTTTTTTGACATAAAACATTATGTCGCTCCCTCTAACATAAATACTAACATAAAATTTGATTTGAATATAAAATAACCCGATGCGACAGTCCGGGGTACAGCTGCGGTCGCTGAGCGTGCCGGCGGGCGAGGAGGGCGGCGCGGGCGGCGAGGCGGGGGGCGGCGGGGTACGGGGCGCGCGGGCGGCGGACGCGCGCGCCGCGCTGCTGCTGCTGGCCACGGACGACGGGCTGGCGCCGCTGTGGAGCCTCGACGACGACAACCCGCAGCCCCTGCAGTGAGTAGGTCGCGCGCTGCTCGCGTGTGTGCGAGCGCGCGGTACAGTGTGTGCGTGCGCAGCGTGTACGCGGGGCTGCGCGCGGCGGCCACGTGCTGCGGCTGGGCGCGCGACGCGCGGCTGCTGGCCGCCGCCAGCGCCGCCGGCGAGCTCGCGCTGCACGCGCCGCCCCCGGGGGCCCGCACGCTCTACTACGACCCGCAGGCGCACGGCCTCGGTACGTGACGCCATACTCTATCTCTATATCTTTATCTTTTATTTTATTCAATTTAACACTGTAGGTAATAAAAAGGCATTCTCTATCAGTCAACCGCAAGGGTGGTGCAGAGAATTGTTAAAACTAAGTCAAAACAAGCACATAAATTATTAATAAACATAGGTTACATATGCAATGTGATAACACAAAAATATACATTTAATACAAATACATAATATAACATGTAAATAATACATAAATAATAAATACATAATACATAAATAATAATAATACATGAATAATGAGATGAAGAGACTATTAAAAGGGCTAAATATGCCTCCGCGTAGAACGATGGCTAAAAGATGCGGCGGGAATAAAACTGAACAATTCCTCATAACATTCCCGTGATAATATGCGATGGAGAACAAAACGAGGCTACTTCCCTACGCAGTGCCAAAGAGTCCAACCGGTCCGAGACAACAGGGCAGTCAACGATTCAGACGTCGCTACGATCTATTTAGCACACCTAGCTTCTTCGAGGCTAACATGGCCGTACTCTCTAGATGACTATGGAACTGGACTTCGCTCGAAATGTCGACACCAAGTATCCCAATACCGGCCGAGGCTGTTAGGTTAGGTTAGCCCGGTAGTAGGTAGTACCGGCCGAGGCTCTGATAATGAGGAGATACGACCAACAGCAGTTTTTTTAGCTGTGAACACGCAGGCCTGTGTCTTTGTGGGGTTATAAAATTAAGTGTACCCCACTTCTAACATCTGAAATTCTCTCTAAAGAAGTTCGATTTCACACACGCCTGTTTCGAATTTCGATGACGTATTCCCGAGAAATTTTAGCATGGCAAAATATATTGTTACGTGCCTGACGTCACGTTCCTGACTGTGCGGGCTTGGATTACGGGATTGGATGAAATAAAACACTAATACCGGTTTTAGACTTTCTATTGCACTTTGATGACAGCGTCCACGGAGTTAAGTTATCGGCGTTCCTCTCCAGCAGAGTCCGGGCGACTGACACAAACTTCCGTTTGCCGCTCACTGTTCACGCTGACTTTCACTTAACTGACTGCACTTCACTATTTCACTGCACTGCACTATTTCACTCACTTTTCTTCTTTTTCACTTCTTCCTTTTCTTCCGAATCGCTTTGGACTTAGAACTCAACTGCCAGCGGTGAGCCGCAGTTCCGCTTATATACCCCCGGTCAGGTTCTGGAACATTCAATTTCGTTATTCTTTTTGATCGTCATGCCTCCAGAACCTTCCAATAATTTCGTTATTCATTTTTATTTATTCTCCTTCTCGCTCTTTAATTTTTCATTTCTTTCACACAAATAATTCCAGAAAGTTCGACAAAACTTCCATCAACTAAAAAACTTCATGTTTACGGCGGGACTCGAACTCGGGATCTCTGTGGTGTAATCCACACGCCTTACCGATTACACCAACTCGTGTTGACAATTCGCGACGAAATTTACAATCTCTAGGCAACGTTTGACAACTATCCATTGACGTCATGATGTCAAAGAGTTTAAACCACTTTTCCGTCACAATATATAAATATAATAATAAATGGCATCACCCGTGCTGTCATCCGCATAACAATGAATGCCACTGATGCAACATACATGCAAGGAATCCCGATACCTATTTACACAGTTTCTCGGGAAGCCCATTAGGAAGGCAGCTTCGATAAAAGCCCTTTATGCCTAATCCAATCGTGTATGGTGCAACCGCACATCAGCATTTTACGCCACTTACATTACAATTCATTGTAAATATGTTCAGTTCGCGTTGAGCCACAAAGTTAGCTAAGCGTTCTCATTACAGCCGACAAGGGCTACGTCACTCATCATTTCCGCACAGTCCATTAAGCTCATTTTTACCTTCTAGTACATTTTGGTCAATACTTCTCATTCAATTGCCTGTGCCCAGCGGTGTGTCAGGTAAACCAAAATATCGCCAATGGACAGACCCTTACGGAAACCGTACTGTCGATCACTAAGAAGCTGATGATCCTCTAAGTACCGAAGGAGCTGGCAGTTAATGGTCGACTCCATTATTTTAGAGAAGGGGGAAGTTATAGCTATCGGTCTATAATTTTTAGCGATTGGGTGAACTAGATCTGTCTTCCATGACGACGGGACTACGCCTGAACAGTATGAGAGCCAAAAAAGACGTATTAAGACTGATGCCAACTCTGGAGAGCACATACACACTGACGGATTTAAATAAATTAAATCCGTCAGGCCCACTTGACTTATGGACGTCAAGGGACATGAGCGCCAATCGTATCGACCGCTGGTGAATCAAACCCAGACGCGTAGATGCGGGAGAGCTGATATCGTCTCCGACGTACACGTACGCCTCGGCCCTGGGTAAGAAGGTATTGGTATTGTGTCCGACTGAGACGATATCTGCGTCTTAGTCAAGAAGAGCAAGGCCAGCTTTACTGTCTCAAGGTGGCGATGAACAGCATCGAGGTTAGTGTGCAATCCCCTGATGTTGCAGGGGACTCTCCAGTGCAAGCGCAGTTGTTACCCTTCTGGTGTAAAAATGCTATTAAACTGTGGCATTGGATTCATTTGACGAAACACAACTAAAGTGTACCAACCATAGTTAAACTCTAGGTTAAGCTCCCACGATCCTCCTTTTTGTTCGTCACAATCATATCACGATCATAATGCATATAAATCCGGCAGAGGGCGTGCAAAGCCTGGACTTCGCTCCGTCTTCAAGCGCACTGGAGCTGGGCGAGCGCCAGCACGTGCTGGCGACGGCGGGCGGGGACTCGCTCATCAAGCTGTGGCTCGTGAGCCAGCTGGAGGACGGCGTGGCGGTGCGCGCGGCGCTGACGCTGGAGCTGCACGGCGGCGGCGCCAGCTGCGTGCGCTGGGCGGACGCGCTGCTGGCGGCGGCGGGCGCCGACCATGCCGCGCGCGTCTGGACCGTGGAGCCCCGCGCGCGCCGCGCCCAGCTGCTGGCCGTGGTGTCCGTGGGCAGCGCGGGCGGCGTGCTGGCCGTGGCGCTGCTGGGCGCGGCGCCGCTGCTGCTGGCCGGCTCGCTGGCGGGCGAACTGGCCGTCTGGCGCCTGCCGGCCGATTTGCCCGACGAGCGCGACGACGAGGAGGGCACGGCACCATGCTTCTGGAACGAAGAAGGCGTGAGGCGCTGGCTCCGCGACTGCATCTCGCGAGTCCCCGGTGCGTGCACTGCCCGTGCTGCTGGTGCTGCTGGTCCTGCTGGCGCGTCATGTGATGTTGTTGCCGCAGGCGCGGAGCTGCGCCGGAACGAGGAAACGTTCCTGACCCAGAGATGTCAGCAGATGGAGGTGACGGGCTCCATGCTGCTCTCCACCCCCGTCGACACGCTACTGCAAACCTTTGGATTTGGTATTCCGGTTTATATACCCACACGCTTGCATGCTCTATAATATACCTACACGACACCAATCTGTAAAGCATCTTACGATAATAAATCTCTAGGGTAATCTTTTTTTTTCGATCAATTTATTTTTTCAGTTGTAGATAGTCGATGGGGGAAGAAAGATAATTAATGTTGTGTAATTGAAATCTTTGAACCCTCTATTTGCTGAAACGTAGGTCTAAGCGAGACAATGGCATATGTATTTTGTATTGTGTCTCATGTCCCGGCGGACGAGAGGTTAATGCGAGCTGGTTTTATATGTTGCGTGTAGACGTGAACAACGCAGAAGAGAGCAGCGAGGCCGCGGAGCTGGTGCGCATGCGCGAGGAGCTGCAGTGGCTGCAGGCGCCGGCGCCCTCGTACCAGCAGGTGGGCCCCTTGTGGGGGAAGCTTTAACAATGTGAATATTGAACTAGAAATGTAAATTAATGGCGTTGCATGAGTGTGTGTTGCCACGGCGCCCCGCCAGGAGGTGTCGGCCCCGCACTGGCTGCGCTGCCCGCTGTCGCACCGGCTGCTGCGGGAGCCCGTGTTCGCGGCGGACGGGTACACGTACGAGCGCGGCAACATACTCGACTGGTTCCTCGCTGCCGGTACAGTACACGCGCCACCACCATGACTAGCAGGGCGACAGTGCCGGTACAGGTGCCGCGGTGTTGCAGGGGCCGCGGTGTCGCCGGTGTCGGGGCGGCGCCTGCTGTCCAGCTCGCTGCAGCTCAACTACGCGTTACGCGACCAGCTCCGGGACTTCCTGCGCAGCTGACTCAACCACTGACTCCCGTGACTCCCGCTCGGCAGATTGTATTAAAGTCAGACATGACAACACCTGCACCATGTTGTTTTATTCTGCTTCCCCTGCTGCTGCAGATAGGAGTGGTAATGTGTTTGTAGGAATGTCGCGGCAATAACTCCGCAATAATACGAGTAAAAATGTTTCAACGATTTCATCTTTATTTTGTATCACTTAAGATATATATTTACAAAGTGAGGCAGTAACAGTGTCAACGAACCAAACGTTTTAACTCGGAACCACTGTTCAACGATTTGCGAATAACAAAATGAACAAAATTTGTATAAATATATATATATATATTGGCCGGTGCGGCCGGAGAGTGGGCCGCTAGAGCATGGCTCGGGGTGCCTGGGCCGCGTCCCCGGCGCGCACCGACCACTGCGTACAATTACTAAGTTGATCATTTCCAACCAATGCACAGGTTGTCTTACAATTCCTTGCAGCTTTATACAGTTCAACAAATGATACGAGTGAGTACCACGGGAGGCTTGCCTGTGGTTAAAACGATTTCGATGTCGTAAAGAGTAGTCGAGCGAGAGTCCGGCGGCGCCGAGCCCGCCCGGCCGGGGCTGGGCGCGCCGCCGCCGGCCTGCGGATTAGTAACTTCCTATCGATACAATTAACTGTAATCATTTATAATAATTATGTACAACTTTACAAATGTGAAAGACGGCCGAGCGGCGGCCGGCCTGCAAGGCACCGCTTCGCTCGCCTCCTCGACCTATTTACATAGTTTTGTTTCCCATAATATAAACTTTAATACGTAGATACCGATACGAATAATTTCGTTTTAATTATTTAATGTTCTCACATCGTTCATATCACAACGCGTACGACTGACCGTTCCTTTACCTAAGTAATAATACATCAGAATTTTTACAATACATTAACACCTCGCATCGCATGCGACGTGGGCTGGACGTGAGGGCGCGCTCGCCCGACACACACACACACACACACACACACACACACAGTCCGCACTGAGTCCGCGCGCGCTCACACCGCGCTGCGCTATTTGCCGTCGTCCTCGTCGTGGCATAGCACCCTGCAACAGACAGCCTACCGTTATTACAGACTCACTGCCGGGGGGGGCAGGGGGGAGGGGGGCGAGTGGTACTCACGGGCAGAGCAGGGCCAGCGCCAGCAGCAACAGCAGTCGGTGCAGCGCTGGCCAGCAGGCGGCGCCGAGCGCGGCCAGCGCGGCGGGCGCCAGCAGCGCGGGGCGCGGCCCGGCGCGGCGCGCGCTGTTCCCGTGCTGCATGGCCGCCGGCTGCTCGCCTGCAACACGCATACACCACGCTACACTCGTACATCGGCCCACTACGGCGTGCAGGTCGCGTCAAGCTATCCGAGAGTAACTAGCACTGACCGCTTAGCACGTGCAGCATGACGGAGGCGGAGTCGAGGTTGGAGGGCGAACACGAGTAGTTCCCGGAGTCCTCGCGCCGCGGACTGTAGATGATGAGGTTGCCCACCTGCAACACGCGGCAGAGCAGTGAGCGGGGGCCTGCCCGGGTCGGGCGCGGGGTCTGGGCGCACGTACCGTGGTGTCGGGCGCGACGCGCTCCATGCGGATCTCGACGAGGCTCTTGTCGTAGTTGAGCACGCGCTCGTCGTTGTGGTACCAGAAGATGTAGGCGGGCTCCTCCAGCGCCTGCGTGATCACGCACTTCAGGCTCACCGTCGTGCCCGCCTTCACGTACAGCTCCGACTCGCCCACAATCTCGATCTTTGGCACTGCGGAAGCAAGTCATCATCATATTTGAGACACTGTTTAGAACGTTAATAAAATATGTTTCCTTGTTTACATTATAATTTAGATTGTGTGTACAGGCTGTTTAGATAAAATTAATAAATAATAGGTAATGAATATAACTGACACGTGATTTGTTTAGTTGACAATAATGTGTACCGACTCACCTACAACGTTGAGCTGCACGAAGTGGCTCATCTTGGGCTCGGTGCCGACCTGGCACTCGTACACCCCGGCGTCCCGCGCCTGTACGTACTTCACCTGCAACACACACACACACACACCTTCATTATGTTCTAATTGAGTCTCACACTGACACTACGCTTCAAACGCCTCAGCTTTCAAAAAATATGTAAATACAAAACTCGACTCTAATATACTCAAAATACATTGTATGCAATACCACGATGGTAATCAAATACTTTGAGGGCAAGTAGTATATAGCAGAAACGATACCTGGAGTGTCCAAGTGTCGGTGGCCTCCACGAGGAAGGCCTGGAAGCGCTCGTCGGCGATGAACGTGAACCGGTCCACAGTGAGGATGTGCGCGTCGCGCCGTCTGATCCACGACACCGACTTGTTGCTCAGCTGTCGCACCTGCGACACACACTCGTCAAGCTTTGTGCCCTGCCAGCTCGAGGCTCGAGTAAATAGCAACAACCTAACTACTGAAGATAGCTCGTCGAACAGTTACACGTAAGTCGTAAAGCCAAATGAATGCGCCCGTGTCAGTGGTCGAGCGTACCTTGCAGGGCAAGTAAGCGTGTGTCCCGAGCTGCGTGGTGATGTTGTTGGGTGCGGAGGGGTCGAAGTAGGGCCCCGTGTACAGCCCCACGTAGCGCTTGGTGAGCCGCGGGCCCGCGCCCGCCTCGCCACACGACAGCACTGCACACACAAGCCACATTACAATAATGTTAAAATCAAAGAAAAGTATGTCTAAAAAGAAAAGTTAATATCAATCGGTATCATATGGCAATGATTCACCCCCTGTTCTATGGGGTTTGTTAAAAACTTGGTGAACGGTGGGTGAGCGAATTCAATATGCGCACCGGCTTCAGGAACAATTTTGATGGCTCCGTCCGACCGGGGAAGCACCATCGCACAGAAAATTTCCTTCATGGCTCGTAACGAATTTGTGATGCCTTCGCTCTTGCTTATATTTAACCACGATGTCTGCTTACCATCAGTATCTCAGTAGTCTGTGTTGCATCCGACACGGGCCGGCCTGATGGTAGCAGCCATTGTAGATTCTTCCTCTTGCAACTATGACTAGTTGTCGATCACAAACAATATTGTTCATCTACACCACCACACCACAGACATGCGCGGCATCTATACAGCACAAACACCGCGCGGCACACGTGTAGTAGTGTAGTAGGGGGCTCGCGGCAGACTTCATATTCCGGAATAAATTTAGTTTTTATCGAAGCTATCCGTCTGTACCCTATGTATATATTGAAATCGAAAAAGGGAATTCGAAATCATTTGAACTCTACGGAAGGCGTCTCAAGACTCTTTTATGTTTTTAAAATGTTTACAATCACGGTGAACTTTAAGAAAAAAATAATTTTATAATACCATTTTGGCTACAATATGTGCTACAAATATGCGCTACGGTTCCACAACACAAGTAAATGCTACGTAAGAACGCCCTTCAAATGTAGTTCGGGCTGGCGGTAGATCACGGCTAACCTTCTTATTCTGGAATAAATTTAGTGACTAGAGTCACTAACTGACTACTAAACCACTCCGCTGCTTCTCCTGACCAAGTCAAAGGTACATTATCGCGCTTGACCTGCAGCTGCGGCTCCTTCGAGCTGTTGTACGAGGCTAAAGTAATTAATGCTACAATTTATATCTAAATAAAAAAAATATACATTTATTTATAGAAAATTTTTGCGGCAAGCCGTTGCGGAAATTACCAGACGCCACTCGTAGAGATATCAGCGACAGTAGAAGAGAGATCGAGTGAGTGTGCACGGATGGAGGGATCTCGTGTCGTGTTCATGCTGGTGCAATGTCGCTTAACAGAGCCGGAAAGAAGCTGTGGCGCTGGAAGAGGTCATCGGGTGCAGGGAGGCTGCTGTGCAGCGGACCGTGCTCCAAGGACAGGGGGCGGCGTGAGGCGCATGCTACGGAGGAGGAGAGGAGGGGTCCGAGCTGTAATTAAAGCTGCAATCAGAATAGCAATCTGTCCCCCGAGCAGTCGCGACACATTGACGTTTGTTCGCGGTGACGACGTTCGGAATAGCTCAGCGTCAGTAATTATATTTTCCAATCATATTATGGGATACGTACATAACATGCACTTGGGATGTTTATTAAAACAAAAAGGTCTTTATAATTATTTATCAGAGTTATGTACTACTCTGTTTACCATCGGACGGACTTCATTGTTTCACTACATGGTATAAAACAAAGTCGCTTTCTCTGTCCCTATATCCTTCTGTATGCTTAAATCTTTAAAACTACGCAACGGATTTTGATGCGGTTTTTTAACAGATAGAGTGATTTAGGAGGAAGGTTTATAAATAGGACATCTATTAAATAGTAGATATATTTAGTATCAGCATTGCACCCGTGCGAAGCCGGGGCGCGTCGCTAGTTAATAATAAATAAAAAAGAGCACGAGGCCCACATGTTGAGGAGAAGTGCAAAGAGGTGAAGAGTATTTATAAAGTATAGATATAGACGAGGAGGGAGGGGCTGGCGGGGTGTGGAGAGCAGGATGATCGCATGCCGTGGCCACATTCAGTCCACTGCGTTGTACACAGAATGTTCCCTTTAATTTGCAACACACAACATCGCCGTAAATCACTTGGTTGGCTCGAGAGGGATATTAAATTCATAGCGCGGAGCTCCGACATTATAATATAACAAATATTGTTCCTTATTGCGGCCTGGTTTGTTCGCTATTGGCCTGTGTACTCAAAATGACAGAAAGGAGCAGGCATCGAATGTCGCAATAGCTCATTATAGCGGAGAGTATGTCACGCAGCTGGCTCTGTGTAAACTATGTAGTATTATTGTAAGAATTGTATGTAACCGATGTTTAACCTAAGCTGCCTGCAGGCTGCAATCCGAGAGGATCCATGCGCAGTCGATTGTACCGAAACATCCATGTAAAAAACTACAATATGTAATGGATATTTATTCGAAACGAATAAATGTTATGCGACAATAATATTGTGCATTAATTTACTTGCTATTTTTTTATTGTAACATTCCAACAATGTATCAAAATGGAGCTGAGTAGCGGGTGAAACCGCGCGAGAGTAGCTAGTCAGCTATATACCTTTAGTAGGTACTTTACATACTTTCTGGTTCGAAAGTAGGGATAGTATGATATGCGAATAAATTGCAACTCAAATACTATTACTTAACAATAATTTTTATCAGGTGATTCCGTAAGTCCCAGGATCGCGCGTACAATGACAGCGTTATAGCTCTCGGGGAAGTCATACAGCTTAGCATTAATGGTCATACAAACTAAACGAGCACCTGTGTGCAAATTACAATATCAATGTCATACCAATCTGTTGAAGTTGAATATTTTAAGTTAAAAAAGCTTGTAAACATTGTTAAAATCCGGGTACTAGTTATATTTAATAGTCATACTAAAATTGACAGCACAGGTGGCAGTGGTCGCCAGCAGCCGGCTGTGCAACGTGTCGCGAGTTCGATTCCCGCACGGAACAACACATTGTGTAATCCACTTATTGTGCAGGTTAATGTAGCACTTATATAGTTAAACATACAAGCATGCACGACATAGGAAAATTTTCTAGAGTGAGGCCAAGTTAAAAAAAATACAAGACCTCATTTTAGGCTTCCTGGTTTTGTAATTTTATTATTTTTTTGTTATACTAGATTTGATTTGATTTTTTTTAAAGATATTAAATTGTAATAAGACCTAATGTTAGATATGGAATACCGAATGGTGGATATGGTACCTGATCGAATAGTTTGATATTAAACTCAAAATGTTAACAAGCAATTAAGAATAAATAATTAATGAAGAGCATTAACTGCGAGTGCAGCGCAAAGAAATGTTATTTCCATGATATTGTTGGAGGTTTACACGGCTCGAGTGCGCGGCTTACGTAACCCAGTATCCACAGCTTGCACTGCCCCCTCCCCCCACCCGCGCCCCCCGCTCACGTTGAACTGCTCTAAAACGGATTCTCTTTACAATATTTCTTTTCCAGTTCGAATGTGAATTTCCCGCGGCGATGTGAACTATTCATGCGCTCGAAGAGAAAAATTTATTGCGAGATATTTTAAAGTTTGATTTGAAGCAAAGTTTAATATTACAATGCTATCGTCCCGGCGCCGTGTCACCAGCTGCTGCCACTACTCTCTGGTACATGCGACGCGGCGGACCAGTCTGCTACTGCCACATGATCTAGTCTACAAACGCGTGTAAGCATCTGCTCATAAAGAGCTCGTTGCTCATGTCCATCATCGAGCGTCCATGGACGACGCTCATTGACCATCAGGTGATCAGTCTTCTTCTGATAAATAAAAAAATTTTTTTTTCCTCAGCAATGGTAAAGCTGCGTCTTATGATGTGTCAGTCTATGTATATGACAATAACGTTGATGACGCGGTATTGGGCACGCTACTAGACTCCCTGCTACTAGGAGGTTTTAGAAAAATCAAAAATGCGAACCTTCCTTCCTAAATTCTATGTGTATGGTTGCATGGGAGAAATATATTGATGCATTAGGTGATGGTAAACTGTCAGTGCAATAATCACCTTCTAAGCTGTTTCGCTCGCCCTCACAACACTCCGCGCCCTCATTTTATATCCATCGTATCTCGTGAATCATTGAAGATTCCAAACGATAATTTATGAAAAGCGCGGCGGAGGCTGGAGCACAAACCATTCTGCTGCTTTTACATATTTTCAGTCGGAGCTATTGAATGTGGTGGCCGGTATTAATGCGGCGCGGGGTGAGGTGTAGGGGGAGGGTGGGGGGGGGGAGAGGTGGCCACGTCAGCAACATCTCGCAGATGCTGTGACGAGTGACGAGCAGTTTATTTGTAAGGACTCAGTGATCGCGGCCTTGAGCGAGCGTTGTTTGTTATCTGGAGCACCGCCACACCACATCGCCTCGATTTCGCGTTAGCTATGTATATGCACAGATATGTTAAGCAGTAATCACACTGCGGTGGGTACTAACACATAGTAGTGTCGGGCAGTGGTAGTGGCGGTTGTTATCATCTTTATATATTGGATAGTCTCCTGGTGTTTCTGTTTATCTGTCCTAGACAAATTTTGAAGTAAATACTGAACAGATCAATATGCTGTTTATACTCCTGGACTACTACATGGTTATCCACAACAATGCTCAATCCACCTAAAGGTCGCCTGGCAACCCTTTCTTTGGTCCAGACCGGCTGTGAAACATTACTACGCTTGCCTTCACCCATCTTTAGATCACACAAAGATAGTGTCTGTCTGTGCACGCAGCGTGCTATACTGAACTCCTGGTAAAACATATTCCTATTACAATGTTAGAGATGGTTGTAAGTAAAGTCAATAGGATCACATTTTTTCCGAATCCAAATCAAAAAACATTTTGCTCTGAACTTGTAAGCGAGTTATGAGAGATTTTATTTTATTTTAAGAATTAATTCGGAGTTGACGTATTCATTTTCTCCGACAGAGTACTCAACCGTTGAGCCGCTAAGCCGCGATGCTTTCTTTGATTCGTGTCACGCGCCGGGCGGATTCATTCCACCGGCGAGCCGTTTTATAATTTAATGTTATATCATGTTACAATGAAATGATAAAAGGGCGAGCGACGCGTGCGAATATTCATGAGTGACGCGCGTTCTGTGTCAATGGCAACAGTGGGAACGACGAAAGCGGTAAATTGGAGGGCGGCTGTGCAGCTCGCGTCCGAGTTAATTCCATTCGGCAAATTGCT